GTAAATCCTCCCTTGAAAGACTTTGCTGGATGTGAAGGAGCAGAATTCACAATCAATTAATAAAAGGGGTTTTATCTGAGACCAGGAGTTGGCTTCATGCTCTCGGGAAGCCTCGGTCAGAACACCGGGACCACTGCAGGTGCCTCCAACACAAGTGCCGTTGAGCTGGCCACACAAACATACACACCCGCAAGCTCAAACACAACCCTAATGCAGCTCTCAATGAAATTAGACACCTCTGGTCTAGAGGACCTCTAAGGTCCCTTCCCCCTCTGTTATTTCTGTGGATGCTCCATGCCAACTAAGGCCAGGCGAGGCTAGTGTGGCCATTCTGGGCAAGCCGAGTCCTCCAGCACATTCCTACATGCCCCATGAAGGTCACAGAATCGGGGAGCGAAAGAATGGAAGGCGTGAAATGGATTGGCTCGTAGCCGGCCGAGACGAATTCGCCTTTCTGGGTGGGTGGGTGGGTAGCAAAAGGGGAGGGGGCTCAGCTTCCGATTCCCGAGCCCCAGATGGCTCTCTGAAGAAAGGAAGGAGAGTTGTCGGCCTGCAATAAATCTTCACCCTGATGACGACGGCTTCAAAGAGGGGAAGCAATATTGCCCAAGCGACAAGATGCGGAGAAAGGGGGTGGGTGGCAGGTGAAGAAGAGTGTGAGTCCCTCTTGGAGAATAGGGGAGGGGGGAGAGCACGCAGGTGGAGAGACCTGGTCTTCGAGGGGGGGGGTCAACGGAAGGGTCTCCCTTCTGATCAGCTAGCAAGTCTTTTTCCTTTCATATTCCTTCTTTTTCTAGCCACCATTCATCTTTTCCTTCCTTCTTTTCTTCCTTCCTTCTTCCTTCCTTCAATCTCTCTTATCCCTCTATCTCTTCTTCCTTCCTTCATCCTTTATCCATCCATCCATTCATTCCTTTCTCTCTCTCTTCCTTTCCCTTTCCTGTCCATCATTGTTCTCCTTCCCTATTTCCTTCCTTCATCCATACCTTTCTCTCTCCCTCTCCCTTATTTTTCTATAATTTTTCTCCTCCCTCCATCCATTCTTTCCTTCCTTCATTCCTCTGTATCTCACTCTTTTCCCTTCTTTCTTCTTCCATCCATCTTTTTCCTTCCTTCCTTCATCCATTCCTTCCTTTCTCTCTCCCTCTCATTTCCTTTTCTATCCATCATTCTTCCCCTTCCTTCATCCATTCCTTTCTCCCCTTCTCTCTCTCTCTCTCTCTCTCTCCCACTCCCTTCCTTTTATATTCATCATNTGGGGAATTCTGGGAGTTGAAGTCCGGACATCTTCAAGTTGCCAAGGTTGAGAAACACTGGTCTATTGATTTGAATGTTCAAGACAAGAAGATTTTCCGTTGCTTCATCATAAGCGTTTATCTACCGTAACAAAGGTCATAAATATTGGCTCTCCGATCGGGGGAGAGAAGTCGATGGCGCCACTTCAGCCAAGGATGCCTTTCTCCGGCTGAGCGCTTCGCTGGGGATGCCGCGCAACATGCATCTCAGCTGTTGTCATGACGAACCCAAGCCTGCTCCCCCCCCCCCAATTCTTTTGCATGGCCAAAACAGCCGGCGAGCTGATTCAAGCGATGCTGCCGGGAGTTTTTAACCCCCCCACCCGCTTTGCAGCCGTCCTCAGCGCTTTATATGGTCTGCGTGCCATCCCGCAAGCATCACAGCCCGCCTCTTGCAAGGCGAATCGCTCCGCTTGGGTCGCTATCGCGTTGCTTTTCCCCTCCCCGCCTTTGCTATCAGCCGATTGGAGGCGGAAGGTGACTGGGCGAGAGAGAGACAGAGAGCGCGGCATGCAGGGAGTCACCCGCTTCTTTTGGATGGCCCGAGGGCGGCTTCTATCTCCGGGAAGGCACGCACCTAGAGGCGCCCGTGCCAACCGCCGCGCGTGCCGTTCCTGGAGTCCGCAAGCCCGCAAGTCCCTTGCAAGGGAGAGTGGCGGTGGGAAGCCAGCCCCAGCCGCGTCCATTGCCAGCCTTTCCCCCGCTTAACCTCCACTCGGGGGCTCATATAGCGAAAAGCCCGGGGAGGAGAGAGAGAGAGCGAGAGCTCCTCGCCTGCCTTGCCCGCCTCTTGGTGGTGGGGATCCTTCTTCCCAGCGAAGGCTTGTGGGTAAACGAGGAGGAAGCCATGGCTGTAGTAGCAACCGTGGTGCAGAATTGCAATTGCAATTAAAGGTGGTGCAGCAACCGTGGTGCAGAATCTTGCAATTGCAATTAAAGGTGGTGGTGGGAGGACAGGAGGAGGAGGAGGCAGAAGCTTGCACGGCTCGTTCGTCGGGCGAAGCGGCAACTGGGAGAGGTCAGCGCGGGGCAGCCCGCTCCCTGGAGAGAGCAACGCCTCCGGAGAGACCCAGCGAGGCGGGCCCAGCCGCGCTCCCTCCCATCCTTCCAGCCACGGAGGAGGAGGAGGAGGAGGAGGAGGGAGGAAGTCGGCCGCCGCCGCTGCTGCTGCTTCGTCTCCCTCCCTCCCCGACGGGTAGCGAGTGACCTGGTGCAAAATGGCCGAGGCAGCGTGGGGGCTCCGCGCATAAGACTTGCCTGCCTGCCTTCCTTCCTTCCCAGCCCTCGTCCGCTGCAGAAGGGACCCGAGGAGAAACAGGAAGGCCGCGGCGGGGCTGCCTCCCCCTCCCCGAGGCGGCTTCCCTTTCCCCTTCCTCCTTCCCCCCTTTCTGGGTTGTTCATGCCTGGGAAGCGGACGGGTGGAGCAGCGGCAGCAGCGCCCGCCCCAATCGGGAGGCGAAGAAGAGGAGGAGGAGGAGGAGGTCGTCCGTTCGCCCCTCTCTGCCTGCTGCTCCTCCGGAGAGAGGCCTGGCCGGGTGAGGCCGGCACTAAGCCCCGTTGGTCTCCGCCCGGAGGAGCCTCGCCTCCTTTCTTCCCCCAACTCGGCAGGCCCCGAAGTGCAGAGCCATCGGCGGGACTGGAGACGGCGGAGAGCCTCCGCTTGCTGCTTCCTCCACCACCTCCTCCGTTTCCAAGCCCGGCTCTGCTTTGGCGCCCGGGAACCCCGAGGGACGAAAAGGCGGGGAGAGATCCGCCGCGGACGGGAAAATGAACCACCAGCAGCCCAGGCAGGCGACGAAAATGTCGACCTCCCCGCCGGCGGCGGTATCCGGGGAAGGGCATTTGGTGAGCCGGCAGAGGAAATTGGAGTCCATGATCCGAGACCCCAGATCCCCGGTCAATGTGGAAAGTTTGTTGGTGAGTTCAACTGATGGCGGCGGAGCCTGTGTGTTGTGTGTTATGTGTGTTGTGTCTGTGTGTGTTATGTGTGTGTGTTGTGTTGTGTATGTGCTGTGTGTGTTTTTTGTCTTTTGTGTGTTGTGTATGTTGTATGTGTGTTGTGTGTGTGTTTTGTCTTTTGTGTGTTGTGTATGTTGTATGTGTGTTGTGTGTGTGTTTTGTCTTTTGTGTGTTGTGTGTGTTGTGTCTGTGATGTGTGTTGTGTATGTGCTGTGTCTGTGTTTTGTCTTTTGTGTGTTGTGTGTGTTGTATGTGTGATGTGTGTTGTGGGTGTGTTGTGGGTGTGTTTTGTCTTTTGTGTGTTGTGTGTGTTGTATGTGTGATGTGTGTTGTGTATGTGCTGTGTGTGTGTTTTGTCTTTTGTGTGTGTTGTATGTGTGCTGTGTGCTGTGTGTGTGTTTTGTCTTTTGTGTGTTGTGTGTGTTGTATGTGTGATGTGTGTTGTGTATGTGCTGTGTGTGTGTTTTGTCTTTTGTGTGTGTTGTATGTGTGCTGTGTGTTGTGTGTGTGCTGTGTGTGTATTTTGTCTTTTGTGTGTTGTGTGTGTTGTATGTGTGATGTGTGTTGTGTGTGTGCTGTGTGTGTGTTTTGTCTTTTGTGTGTTGTGTGTGTTGTATGTGTGATGTGTGTTGTGTATGTGCTGTGTGTGT